TTTTTTTTCATGCACTATGGACTTACCTTTTAAGAAATAAAAATTCTCTGATACATGCTTTGGGGGTAATCAATTCTGATTCAGACCAGAGATGTGACTGTCAAATATTGTAAAGAAGTTTCTTGTCTGCTTACCACGATAGCCTCAGAACAGTGCCTGGCACAGAGAAGTTGTTCAATCAATAATTTTTGTTACAATAAAGTCTTACAAAATTTCAAAAAATATTCTGAAGACATTTTCTGTGAAGCAGTCTCACAAAAAATGACTGTCTGGTCTCCAGAATAACTGTTTTGCAAGACTTTGAAAGAAAGTTTAGCTAAATGTATACTTGTTGAAATATTTGCCAAAACATTTTTTATTCTCCTGACTTCTTTGCCTTCATCCAAATGAAACAGTGGATTTTCCTGAAAGATGAGGACCCATATTGTTAGAATATCCACTTCAAAGGAAAGAAGTGCTTCTTTCCCTGATCCATCTGTAAATACAGATCATGCATGGCATTGATGTCCTTATGGTCCAACTTTGCTAAAAAAGAGTGGTTCAACTTCTTTTTTCCTCCCCCTATACTTTACCATTTTTTGAATGGTAAGGATTGCAGTTATGACCCCACTATAGGATAGAAAAGAATCCAATTAGAGGACTTCTATCTTATGGTCTAAAACGAGTCTCTAGTAGGCGATAGGTCTTGTTTTTTATCCATTCTGTCACCATGTGTCTTTTGACTGGTGTGTTTAGTCCATTTACGTTCAAAGTAATTATTGATAGATATGTACTTATTGCCATTTTATTACTTGTTTTGTGGTTGTTTCTGAAGATTTACTCTGATCCTTTCTTGTCTTTCTCTCTTTCATGTTTTGCTGATTTTCTTTAGTGATATACTTGAGTTTCTTTCTTTGTTCTTTGAATATTTATTAGTGGTTTTTGATATGTGGCTTCCATTATGTTTGTGTATAATCTCTTCTGCAAATAGCAGTCCATATTAGGTTGATAGTTATTTAAGTTTGAACCCATTCTTTCTCCTGTCCTCCCACATTTTATGTTATGTTTATTTATACATGTTATTATGTTTTATGTCCTTTTTTGTGAGTTCCTTGACTGATTTGTTTTACAGAAATATTCATTTTACTGCTTTTGTGTTTCCTATCTTTATACTGACACTTTTTTTTTCTCCTTTCCACTCAAAGTGTCCTCTTCAATGTTTCTTACAGGGCTGATTTAGTGTTCATGAATTCTTTAGTTTTTGTTTTTCTGGGAAACTTTTTATCTTTCCTTCTATTCTGAATGACAGTCTTTAATGGATAGAGTATTCTTGGCTGCAGATTTTCCCATTCAGCACTTTGAATATACCACTCTCTTCTGGCTTGCAAAGTTTCTGTTGAAAAATATCCCACTAACCCTATAGGTTTTCCTTGTAAGTTACGGATTTCTTTGGTGTTGCTGCTTTTAAATTTTTTTCTTTATCACTACATTTTGTAAATTTAATTACAATATATTTTGGTGGGGTTATGCTTTTGTTTTTTTGTTTTTGTTGTTGTTTTGTTTTGTTTTTGTTTTTGTATTTCTTGGCAGGAGTTCTCTGTGCTTCTTGAATCTGGTATCTGTTTCCTTCCCCAGATTAGGGACGTTTTCAACTATTGTTTCTCCAAATAAATTTTCTGGCCCCTTTTCTCTATCTTCCCCTTCTGGGACTCTTAGAATATGAATGTGATTACATTTGATGGAATCACTGAGTTCTCTAAATCTGTTCTCCTTTTGTATAATTCTATTCTCTCTCTTTAGTCTGATTACTTTCCATTACTCTGTCTTCTAGGTCACTAATTCATTCTTCTGATTCTTCCATCCTGCTCTTCATTCCGTCAAGCACATGCTTCTCATTTCATTTATTGAGCCCTTTATCTTTGCTATGTTATTCCTTACCTCTGTGTTAAGCGTCTCGCTCATGTCTTCCACTCTTTTATCAAGTCCAGCAAGTAATCCTTATGATCATTGCTTTAAATTCTCTATTGGGCATATTACTTAAGTTAGAGGACTTCTAACAAGTGTATCCTCTTGCAAGACAGAGCTGACTGAGTTTTTGTTGTTGTTGTTGTTGGTGGTGGTGGTGGTGGTGGTGGTGGTTTTGTTTTGTTTTGTTTTGTTTTTGCCTCAAATGTCCTCTGACAAGACATAGGCCTTCTTGAGCCTGATACAGTTGCTTCAGCTCCAAGAAAGCCTACATGAGAAGTGAGATTTGCAACAAATAGCCTTTTCTGTATAGATCACTGACCCTGCTGGCCAACCCCGCCACTTTTGCCCAACAGTCTTAAGAATGGCAACATCATTGTTTATTGATCTTTATTACAATGAACCTCTAATTGTTACTTGAAACTCTAATTATTACTCATTTTTTGGAGCTGAGATGGAGGCCTGCAGGGCTGTAAAATAAGTTTGTTTGATTCCCTGCTTGATTAGCCATTTGTATACCCAAATGCCCACTAGTTAAGCAGGACTATTTCTGGGGAGATTGCTTATCTTCCTAGCATTAGTAAAAGGCAGGAGCTTGGAACATAATAGCATTCTCTTCACACCCCACAAATGTGAATGTTGGCATTTCTATATAAAAGTGAGGAAAGAGAATGTCATCCATTCTTGTAAGTTAATATCTTATAAGTTAAGTCTCCCTTGGTCTTGCTTGAAGAATGAATATGTGGATCTTGGAAGACACAGTCTGTAAAGACAGTGTACCCATACCCACACCTGGTAATCCAGTGAGTGGGTTTTTACAACACTGAGAGGATGGTTGGGGTCATTTGGAGCCATAGAGTTAAGACACCAATGTGGATGAAACAATGACAATGAACAATAGTATCTCTGAGGCCAGATTTACTTGGGAAACAAGATATGTTGCCTTTGTTTAGTTAGATTTTGGCCTGGATGCCGCTTACCAGTGACCCTTGTTTTGTCTTTGATTCATGTGATTTCCCTATTCCTCCTTGCTGAAAACGCCTTGGAGAGAAACTATAAAATCTTCCTTATGTCTTTGCTGTCCGTTTCCTGTGTTTCCTCTATGTTTTGGTTCATCTCATGTTCAAGAATGATGTCTATATTTTTCTAGGAAATAGTAGCTTTTCTAAAACCTTTGATAATCTGTGACTGCGGAGGGAGAGGGGATAATGATTCTGACTACAGAAGAACCACTTGAACCTTCTTAATGAGTAGGGTGGGGAATATAAGCAACTTATTTTTTTATTTATTTATCTGGAAATTTATTTTTTTATTATCATATAATGTATTATTTGTTTCAGGGGTACAGGTCTGTAATTCATAATCTCTCTTTTGTGATGCGTTATTTTGATTTATTTGACCATTTGGTTAATGCCTATCTCTGCTGCAGAATGTAAGTTCCATGAGGTCAGATATTGTAACTGACTTTGCTTACCACTCTATTCTTAGTGGTTAGCACTGAGGCTAGAATAATGAAGGCTAAGTAATATTTGGGGAATGTGTACTCCTAAATGGGAGTTCTCATTGCTGTCATTATCATCATCATCTTCATTGTCATCATTTTCATCATCTATCACCAGGTGATTTCTTACAAAAATACTCTTACTTCAGATCATAGCCAGTTGAGCAATCAAGTTCTTTAAAACTGCTTGGCCTAGGAAGGTTCTGCATCTGGCTCCCTGCTCATCAGGGAGGCTGCTTTTCCCTCTCCAACTCCCCCTGCTTGTTTCTGCTGTCACTGTCCCTCTGTCAAATAAATAAATAAAATCTTCAAAAAAACCCCAAAAGACAGCATTTATGATCTTACCGAATTGGGGGAGAGTGTGGCTGTGTCCTCTGGATCAGGGTCTCTTACAAGGCTGCTCTAAAGGTACAGTTATTTCAAGACTTAGCTTGAAGGAGGACCTGATTCCAAGCTCATCATGGATCTGTTGACAGTCTTCTGGTTCTCACTGGCTGTTGGCTGGAGACATCAATTCCTTGCCACCTGAGCTGTTCTATAGGGCTACTCACAGCATTGCAACTTGCTTCCTTCAACACAAGGGCTCTGAGAGAGAAGAATAAGATGATGATCAAGAAGGAAGTCACATTCATTTTGTGACCTAATCTCAGAAGAGATACTCCACCACTTTTGTAGTATTTTGTTCATTAGAAGCCAGTTATTAGATCCATCCCACACTAAAGGAGAGAGAACTGCACAATGGCATGAATAGGACCATTGGGAGCCATCTTAGATAGAAGCTGTCTACTGCAAGGTATGACTTTGTTTTCTCTCAGCAAGAGCACAGCTGTCATTGATTGTTTTAAGTCTTTTCTCCTTTGAGAATCATGAATTGCATATCCTTCAGGGCCCCCTAATATATCCTTCATACATTTCTTTCAAAAATGGGAAGGCAGAGGCAGGTGGGGCAAGTTCTGCTAAGAATAGCTCCCAATATAATAACAACTTTAGTTGTCATTGCACGTTGTGCATTGGCACTGAATCATGAAGAGGACCCCAATTACTCTTTTTCGCTTGTCTGGGCATCAGTATCCTAATGACTGACTTTATAGCTTCCTAATGAATATATTAAAAACAGAACTCTAGAGATTATAGATACAGAAGGTCTATATTTAGACCTTGGGTTTTCTTTCCTCCCTGTAGCCCACCCCTACTTTGCACAGAGGTTTTAGTGCTAATTTGAGATCATTCTGAAACTTTCTGTTTTATCATAATATACATATCCAACATTTTCCATCTAATTTTGTTGTAATGCTTCAGATTAAGTCACCTCCTAATTGACTGACTTGTCTATAATTTCTCATGCCCTTACTCTCTTACATAATATGTTATAAGAAGAAAGAAGGGAATAACCTGTATTTAGGAGTTTCATGGGAAAAAAGCCTAGAAATAAACAGACATAGTGTTATAATTTCAAGTAGAATTCTAAATACAGAATTTTGTAAAGAAAGAAATTAAAAAGTAGACCTAACAATCATATAACTAGTATCTCTACATTTTGTTTCTTTTTGTACAGATTGTTTCCCAGAGAAAACTGTCTAAATCCTTGTTGAAGCATGGGAACACAGCAGGGAAATCCTCCATCACGGTAAGCCCTTCCTGAACAGAGGTGCCCAGATGGAGCATCTGGTCCAAACCTGGCAGTAGGAAGCAGACTCTCTGAGTATTGGGAGTTGACACCACAACTGCTTAGCTATCCAGTTTACTCCTTTCCTTCTTGTACCTTTTTCCTTTTTGCCAATAGAAAGAAAGAGATAGAAAAAGTATTTGAAAGTGAGGCCATTCACTTCTACTAAGCACTTCTGCAGTTAGTATGTAGGTTTCGGTGGAGGGCAAAGATGGAGTTGTCGAGAACATTAAGAATATGGAATTGTCTGGGGTTTTCAAATCATCAAACTACCTATTCCTGCCTCTCATTTTTTTGAGAATTAAAAATCTGCTCTAATAGCAATTAGTCCAAGGTTAGGTTTGTTTCCTAAGGACCAGAGAACTCAGCATTTTAAGTCTCCTCTTTAATATATTAGTTTGAAGTTATGTCATTGTATTTAGTAGCCACTACCCACATGTGATTATTTAAACTTAAATAAAATTATTCAAAATTAAATAAAAGAAAATACCCACACCTTACACTAGCCATATATCAAGTGTTCAGGAGTTGTATGTGGCTATGAATGTGGGGAGGGAAACAGAGAATCAGATTCAGGAGGCACAGAAATCCCCCAACAACTCAACCCACTGAAATCCACACCAAGACACTCAGTGATTAAGATGGCAAACACAGTGATAAAGAATTTTAAAGTTTGCAAGAGAAAACTGGGCAGTTACCTACAAAGGAAACTCCAGGAGGCTATCAGCTGATTTTCCAGCAGAAACTTTGCAGGCCAGTAGAGAGTAGCACAAAACATTCAAAGTGCTAAAAGTGAAAAATTTACAGCCAAGAATACTCTATTCCAGTAAGGCTATCTTTCAGAATAGGAAAACAAAGAGTTTCCCAGACAAACAAAAATTAAAAGAATTCATGACCACTAAACCAGCCTTATAAAGAATCTTAAGGGGGACCTTGTGAGTAGAAAACAAATACCACAAGTAAGAGTAAGAAAAATAGGAAGCACAAAAACAAACAAAATTAAGCTTATCTATAAATATTGGTCAAGAGTTGCACAAAGTAAAAGGCTGTAAGATATGATACCAAGTATCTGAAACATAAAGGGGAGAAGAGTAAAGAATGAGTTCAGAATTAAGGTAACCATCAACTTAACATAGACCACTATAAGCAGAAGACATTATATATAAACTAAATGGTAACCAAAAATCAAAAAACAGTAATAGATGTGCATAAAATGAAGAATAAAGAATATAGTAAATCCCTATAGTATAGTTTACTAAAGAAAGTTAACTAATTATGAGAGAAAACAACAAGGGAAGAAAGGAACAGAGAAGAACTACAAAAGCAACCATAAAATAAATAACAAAATGACAATAAATACACACATATCAGGACTTACTTTGAATGTAAATGGACTAAATGCTCCAGTCAAAACACATAAGATGATGGAGTAGTTTAAAAAAAAAAAAGACTCATAATAGGCTGACTGTAAAAAATTTAATTCAGATCTAAGGACACATACACACTGAAAGTGAAGGGATAGAGAAACTATCATTCAAATGGAAGTAAAATGAAAGCCAAAGTTACAGTACTTATATTGGACAAAACAGACATTAAAACAAAGGCTGTAACAAGGGACAAAGAAGGACACTATATAGTCATAAACAATACAATCCAACAAGAAGATATAAAAATTGTAAATATGCATGCACCCAACATGGGAGCACCCAAATACATAAAGCAGTTAATAACAAACATAAAGGAACTAATCAATAGTAATACAATAATAGTAGGGGATTTTAACATCCTACTTAACTTCAATGGATAGATCATCCAAACAGAAAATTAAAGAAACAGTGGCTTGAATGACACACTGGACAAAATGGATTTAACAGACATATTCAGAATGTTCCATCCTAAAACAGCATAATATGCATTCTTTTCAGGTACATACGGACCATACTTCAGAATAGATAACATATTAGGCCACAAGACAAGTCTCAACGTGTTAAAAAAGATGGGCATCATACCATCTTTTCTGAAACTAGAAATCAACCATAAGAAAAACATGAAAAGCACACAAATACATAGAGGTTAAATAATATGCTACTAAACAATGAATGGGCCAACCAAGAAATCAAAGACAAAATAAAAAAATACATGGAGATAAATGAAGTTGAAAATAAAATGGTCTAAAATCTGTGGGATACAGCAAAGGCTATTCTAAGAGGGAAGTTTATAGCAATATCGGCCCACCTTAAGAAATAAAAGTCCCAAATAAACAACCTACCTTATAGCTAAAGGAACTAGAAAAATGATAACAAACAAAACCCAAAACCGGTAAAAGGAAGGAAATCATAAAGATTAGAGCAGAAACAAACAAGATAGAAACTAAAAAGAATAGAACAGATCAATGAAACCAGGAGCTGGTTCTTTGTAAAATTAGTAAAATTGATAATATTTTAGCCAGACTTTAGACTTATAAGTAAAACAAGAAAGGAGAGAAATAACAACTGAGATTACAGAAATACACAGTTGTAACAGAATATTATGAAAAATTCTAACCAGCAAATTGGACAACCTAGTAGAAATAGATAAATTCCTAGAAACATATAACCTCCCAAAATTGAATCAGGAAGAAAGAGAAAATTTGAACAGAGCAATTACCAGCAATGAAATTAAATCAGCAATGAAAGAACTCCCAGCAAACAAAAGTCCAGGGCCAGATGACTTCACAGGTGAATTCTATCAAGAATTCTTTAAAGAATTCTATCTTTAAAGAAGAGTTAATACCTATTCTTAAACTATTCCAAAAAATAGAACAAGGAAAACTTCCTAATTCATTCTATAAAGCCATTATTACACTGATACCAAAACCGGATAAAGACATTGCAAAAACAGAACTACAGGCCAGTTTTTCTGATGAATGTAGGTGCCAAAAATCCTCAACAAAATACTAGCAAACAGAATCTAACAATACATTTAAAGAATCATTCACCACGATCAGGTGGGATTTATTCCTGAGATGCAAGTGTGACTTAGTATTTGCAAATCATTGTGATACATCACATCAATAAAAGAAGGGATAAAAATCATATGATCATATTAATAGATGCAGAAAAAGCACTTGACAAAGTATAACATCTGTTCTTGATAAAAATCCATCAAAAAATAGTATCAGAGGAAACGCACTTCACATAATAAATGAAAAACCCACAGCTAACATTACACTCAATGGTGAAAAATTGAGAGCATTTTCTCTAAGGTCAGGAACAAGATGGAGACGTCCATTCTCACCACTATTATTTGACATAGTGCTGGACTTCCTAGCCATGTCATCAAACAAGAGGAATGAAAGAAAGTCATCCAAATTGGTAGGGAAGAAGTAACTTTCCCTATTTGCAGATGACCTGATACTCCATAAAGAAAACCCTAAACACTCCACCAAAAAACTACTAGAACTGGGGCTCCCGAATGGCTGAGTCAATTAAGCATCTGCGTTTGGCTCAGGTCATGATCCCAGGGTGCTGGGATCGAGCCCCACATCATGCTCTCTGCTCATTGGGGAGCCTGCTTCTCCCTCTGCCTCTACCTGCCATTTCCCCTGCTTGTGCATGTGTGCTCTCTCTCTGTCAAATACATAAATAAAAATCTTAAAAAAAAAAAACTTACTAGAACTGATAAATGAATTTAGTAAGGTTGCGGGATACAAAATCAACATACAAAAATCCATGGCATTTTAATATACTAATAATGAAACAGAAAGAGAAATTAAGAAAGCAATCTCATTTACTATTGCACCAAAGAAAATTAAATACCTAGGAAAAATTTAACCAAGGAAGTGAAAGACCTGTACTCTGAAAATCATGAAAGATATTAAAGATGACACAAACAAGTGGAAAGATACTCCATGTTCATGGTTTGGAAGAACAAATACTGTGAAAGTGTCCATACTACCTAAAGTAATCTGCACATTCAACACACTTCCTATCAAAATACCAATAACATTTTTCACAGAACTAGAATAGACAATCCTAAAATTTGTATGGAACTACAGAGGACTCCAAATAACCAAATCAGTCTTGGAAAAGCAAAGCAAAGCTGGAGGTATCACAATTCCAGATTTCAATTTGTACAATGAAGTTGTAATAATCAAAACAGTATGGGACTGGCACAAAAATAGGCACATAGATCAATGGAATAGAATAGAAAGCCCAGAAGTAAACCCACATTTGTATATATGGTCAACTCATCTTCGACAAAGGAGGAAAGAATATGCAGTGGGGGAAAAAGACAGCCTCTCCAACAAATGGTGTTGGGAAAACTGGATGGCTAAATGTAAAAGAATGAAACTGGACCACTGGCTTACACTATGCACAAAGATGAACTCAGAATGGTTTAAGAACCTAAATGTGAGACCTAAACCTATAAAAATCCTAGAAGAGAGCATAGGAAGTATGCTCTGGCATTGGAACATAGCAATTTCTGGCATTGGACAATAGCAACTTTTTTCTAGATATGTCTCCTGAGGCAAGGGGAACAAAAGCAAAAATAAACTGGGAGCTTCATCAAAATAAAAAGTTTCTGCACAGCAAAGTAAATGATCAACAAAACTAAAAGACACCTACTGAATGGGGGAAGATATCTGCAAATGATATTTCTGATGAAGGGTTGGTGTCCAAAATATATAAAGAACTTACACAACTCCACATCCCAATAATAAATAATCCAATTAAAAATAGGCAGAAAACACTTCTCTGAAGAAGACATCCAGACGGCCAAAAGACATAGGAAAAGATGCTCAATGTCACTCATCAAGGAAATACAAATCAAAGCTTCAATGAGACATCACCTCACCTGTCAGAATGGCTAACCCCAAAAACATATGAAACAACAGGTGTTGGTGAGGATGTGGAGAAAAAGGAACCCTGTTACACTGTTGGTATAAATGCAAACTAGTGCAGCCACTGTGCAAAACAGTGTGCAGGTTCGTCAAAAAGTTAAAGATAGAACTACTCTATGATCCAATAATTGCACTATTGGGTATTTACCCAAAGAATACAAAAACACTAATTTGAAGGGATACATGAACCCCCATGTTTATTGCAGCATTATATACAATAGCAAAATTATGGAAGCAGCCCAAGGGTCCATGGATAAATAAATGGATAAAGAAGAGGTGACTATATATATCTGCCTAGAATATTATTCAGCTATAAAGAACAATGAAATCTTGCCAACGACATGGATGGAGCTACAGAGTATTATGCTAAGTGAAATAAGCCAGTCAGAGAAAGACAAATACCATATGATCTCACTCATATGTGGAATTTAAGAAACAAAACAAAGGAAAAGATTTTTAAAAAGTAGAGTGAGAGACAAACCAAGCATAGACTCTTTACTATAGGAAACAAACTGATGATTAGTCGGGGGTGTGGGGGGTGCTGAAATGGCACAATGGAGATTAAGGAGTACAGTTAAACCATGATGAGCACTGAGTAATGTATAGAGTTGTATTACTATATTGTACACCTGAAACTGATACAATACTGTATTGTATTTCCACTAACTGGAATTTTTAAAAAAATTAATGAAAAAGTAATTACATGTAGCTAGCAGCCACTGTATTGGACAGTGCAGATTACAGAACATTTCTGTCATCACATAATGTTCAGTTGGGCAATACTGAAAGTATTTCTAAATAAAACCTTAAAATTTCGAATAAAACTCCAGTATTTAAAACTTTGGCATCTCATTTTAGAGCCCTTGAGAAAGGTAGAGAAAGTGGTCTGATCATTGCCTAGACAAAATTTTTTAAAAAGTAGAAAAATATACCAGGAAAATCTGAATTGCTTGGGTGGGATGGGGGGTGGGTAAATTGCCAGGCAGCAAACCTCCTGAGGTCCTTTGAACATTCCTTTTTAACTTGAGAGTGACTGATTCATTTTTTTTTTTAAAAGTTAAGGTCATTTTTAAGGGAAAAATGCAAAAAGATTCCCTGTGGTGTAAGTTATGACCACTCTCACAAGCACTTACTTGAGTTTATTGCTTGGGTATTTTAAATGATGCATTCTTTTTTTTTTTTTTAAAGATTTTATTTATTTATTTGACAGACAGAGATCACAAGTAGGCTGAGAGGCAGGCAGAGAGAGAGAGGAGGAAGCAGGCTCCCCGCTGAGCAGAGAGCCCGATGCGGGGCTCGATCCCAGGACCCTGGGATTATGACCTGAGCCGAAGGCAGAGGCTTTAACCCACTGAGCCACCCAGGTGCCCCTAAATGATGCATTCTTATCAAGCTTTTTCTTTTTTTACTTCCATGTTCAGTCCATACAAATGGTTCAAAGAGTCTTTGAAGACTCTGTTGGTGCTCTAAAAAGCCATGGATCCAAAGGCTTACTCCCAAAGCACACAAACCCAGAGAAGCTTTGGGATGGTGAACCCCAGTTTGAGATTTGCCTTTGGCCCTTGTTCTTTCCCAGAAGAACAATACATCATCTTGTCACCTTTCTTCTAAGACATCTTGGAGATTTTGTTCCTCTACGTATCCCAGAAAAATTTAATCTCCTTCATTTTAAATATTTAAATACTTCTCTTAATCTTGGGTCCTTGGATCAGAAAATGACTTCAAAATCTTTTGGAAAACACTTCAAAATATGTGAAAATCTTTTCCTTTAGGTGATTGCAGAAGAATTGTCTGGCAATGATGACTACGTTGAACTTGCATTCAATGCACGGAAATTGGATGACAAGGTAAAGTGTTTGGCATTAACCTTACTGAAGGAAGTAATAAAGCTTGCACACAAAGTTTAATCAGATTTCACCCTGCAGCTGTTTTTTCCCTTTCAATCCACATTATTAAACAGATCAAAGATTTCAGAGAGGTCTCCAAAGTAAGACTTTCCCCAAGTTAAGAACCAGTTGATGAGAAGGGGGAGGGACTATAATTAAAAGAAGATAATTTTGTTACACCAAGGCTTCATTTGTTCCCAAATGCCCAGGTCAATGTGCACAGGTAAATATGGTTTAACCCTGTTGCTAGGGACATTTCATAAGAAAACAGATGACATGAAAGAGAGGAGAAATGACATTTATGAAGCACCTATATTTTCCAAGCACAAGATTTAGAGCTTTTCATGCATTATCACATTTAATCATTCTTATAACTCCCACGTAGCAGGCATTATTAACTTTGTTTTGCAGATGAGGAAACAAATTCAAAGATGAAGTAACTTGTGTAAGGTCGCTGCATGTGTTAGTCCGGATAATCCCAGAGTTAAATTAAATTATTAAATATGCAAGGATTTTATTAGAAACATAGGGAGGAAATCTGCAGATTGCAGTGCAAGTCTGACCATGAGTAAAGGAGAGAGAGAGAAAGGGGTGGGCGGCAGTGTCCTGGAATGTCCAGTCTAAGGAAGCCTAAACAAGGCCATCAGAGAGTCCTAGGGCCAATATTGACCAGCAGGGAAGTTTCGTGTCACCCGTGCCTGCCTTAATGTCCCCTACACACGCAGGCACTAGCTGGGAGCGGCCCACTGGAAGCCTGGCCTCAGTGCAAGTATGGAAAATAGGAGATGTATTTCAGGGCACAGCAGCTGGGGCCCTTGGTCAGTTATATTCCCTGTAGTAGGAGGTTTCTAAGGCAGTTTTCTTGGCTACCATACCCTGCTAATAAGTGGTTAAAACTGAGGATTCATTTCCAGGTCCATTCCAGGGGAATCTGACTCCCGTCTGTGTTCTCTCTCTTTTATCTGACAACTTCCATCCATCATGGCCATGTCAGTCTCACCTAGACAGGAGTTCCTCAGTCTCCACCCATTAAAAAAGGGGAGGAGTGTCCTTTCCAACTTCACCATATATTTACAATTTCCCTCCAACCATATCTTTAAGTCAAAAACATATCACATTAATAAATGTATTCACAAAGAACTCTTTTCCTAGAGGACAACTAGAGAACCTGGGATTTGGGGAGGTGGTACCACTTTTTAAATTGCGGACAGGCATTAGGCTGAAAAAGGTAAAGTGATGTATCAGGCAGTTCCCTAAAGTTTTAGGTAGCTGTTGATAGCCTGGCATATCACCTTCATTTTCACCTATGAACAGTACTTAGACTATTTCTATGTTCATTAATTCATTCTTTTATTTGTTCATTCTTTCTTCATTCATCGTTCATTTACCAAACCTTTGTTGCATGCTTGTTATGCATCAGGTGATGGGGTAAAGACATGCTTCAAACCATTCTCACAGCTACAACCTGTAATTCATTGCCTAACTAAATGAAATATAAATTTAAACTACAAAAGATAGAATGTTATAGCCATGATGGGATGTGATAATTGATGTATAACTGCTGTCTGGAGAAGGTTTATTCATCCTGCCTGGGGACATCAGGAAAGACTTTATCCTTGTGAATGAATTGGATTTTTTTTGTGTCCTGAGTGGATTACGTGAAACTTTCATGAACATTAGTGTGGGCTAGGTGCTGGGAACTGTGGTGTGCACTGATGTCAGTCGGATGTTAGCTTTTACTCCTCACTTCCTGATGGCTATTATGTTTTTTCTCCTCCATCATCTCTCCAAGTTTTAGAATAACTCACCAAACTCCTTTGTAGTATCTTTCCTGGTGCCATTATAAGCCATTGGGTCAGTGTGTGGCAGTTTTAAGCTGCTCAGCTAATGGCTTATAATGGCTTCTTTCTACTTAACAGTCTCTTAAGCACTTCTAATCCGCCCTCTAACTGACTTCTGTTACAGTGCAAGAGGACTTGGGGGTTTGTTAGAGGGCCCATTAGCTCTGATGTGTTTGGACAATTTCCCTTCATTCCAATGAGTACTTGCTCAAAAAGCTGAAAAAGCGTCATGCAGCACTTAATATGGTTCTAGGTGGCCATTCCCACCTTTGTCTGGGATGATTATCCAAGGACCTTGTCAGTGCTGAGCATGACACTCCAAAGCTGTAGACTACAGGTCATTCATAATGTGGGTATCTTGCCCATTCTCCTTAGTAATCCAGAGAAGAGTAGGTCCTGTTCAGCACAAAGCAGAGGCCATTGTTCCTCTTTGGACCAAAAGGTGAATGGTCTCAGGTGGAAAAAGGGAAGAGTAGCATTAAGGGGCAAGATGATACCACGGAGATCACCTCAAACAACCTCTTGAGGAAACCAAGACTCAGCTAGGTCTGATGATTTACTCAGATACTACTACTGCTGATAATACTTGTTAATAGATAGTACTGGTTATCCATTGCTACATAGGAAACCATCTCAACACCTAGTGACTTAACTTACTCTATTACATGTCATGGTTTTGAGGGTCAGACATGGAAACAAGTTTCAATGGGGCATTTCTTCTGCTTCTTATGATGTTGACAGAAGTCAACCCAATGATACTCAGCTGGGGAGGACCTTGTCTGGAGAGTTCAGTCTAGCTTTGTTCACATTCCTGACACATGGGATGGCTGAAAGGCTGGGGTCAGCTGAGGTGGTCAACCAGAGTGCCTACATAGTTGTCTTGGGTTTTTTGTTTGTTTTTTTTTTCCCCCACACAGTGGCTAGTTTTTCCCAGAGAAAGCAACCCGAAAGAAAAGAGAAGCTGTGTGGCCTGTTCTGACCTAGCCTTAGAAGTCATGGAGCATCAATTCTGCAGCATTGTGTTAGTTACATGTTAAGTCATAGGGCCAGCCCAGAGTCAAGGAGAGAGGAGTTAGATTCCACACCTTGATGGGGGAGTGGCAAAGTCATATTCTAGAAAAGCATGTGGACAGTGGACATGGTGGTGGCCATCTTTGGAAAATGCAATTTGCCAGATTTTTTTGTGATAGGTGCAGAATCAGAATAAGATAGTACAATTATTTCATGTCACAGCTGGAAAAATAGTCCTGAATTTATTAAGGAGGACCCTTTTTAGCTTTGAGCATTCAATGATATTGTAGCCACCTACATGTTAGCAGTTGAACTTATATCTATTAACTGAGAAAATATATCATGACTAAAAGTGACTGAGACAAAGGTCTTAATTTTTAAAATTTTTTTCATTAATGTCATGAGATTAATTTCTGTATACATTGGAAAACTTTCAGTGTAAATATGTGGGGGAAAATACATCATATCCAATTCAGACAATGGTTATAGGACATCAGGATCCCCAGTCACCTTGTTATCATTCTGGTAATCTTTAGATATCCAAATATGTCAGGTAGAAAGCCTCTGGTCTAATGCAATTGCCTTCTTTAACAGATGAGAACACTGAGGTTCAGAGATGTGAAATGACTTATCCAAGGATATACACACACACACACACAATCAGTGACAGAAGAGGACTTCACCAGGTTGCCTAACCAAAATCTAAATTTTTCTTCAGGGCAAGGGGTTAATGAATACATGTCGAAAGGGTCTCTAGACATTGAGGACTTGGTAATGTTCCCATGGATTTCAGGGAAATAGGAAGCCAGGGAGGAAGGAGGTGAAGGTTTGCCCTAGGTAGCAGTCCTCCAAGAGTTGTCCAAGGTCCCAAGACCCTTTCAAGGGACTACATGAGATCAAAAAGTCTTTTCATAATAATACCAAGATATTATCTTCTTTTTTCACTCTCATTTTCTCACATGTGTAAAATGGTTTTCTGAAACTGGCATGATGCCTAATATCATAGCAGATTAAATGCAGAAACAGATATGAGAATCCTGCTGCCTTCTATTAAGCCATTAGTTATTAAACTGATTTGCAAAAATGAAAAGGAATGTCATTTTTCTGAATACTTTTTTAAATTTGAAAAAGACAGTTGTCTTCCATTAAAATGCTATTTTTATTTTGATGTGTACTGGGTTTGTTTTTATATTTTTAACATGATATAACAAATGTTTTTTTTTTAATTTCATTTTTAGTTTATAATAGAGTAAATACTGATAGATAAAATCTACATAAACAAAAATTCCCTGGGCTCCTCAATAATGTTTAAGAGCACAAAGGAGTTTTAAGACCAAAGAGTTTGAGAACTACTGTGGTAGGCTATACCGGGGGGGGGGCACTTAGTACCTTGAAAACTACAATGAGAAATACCCCCTTTCTCTTGATAGAAAAAGTCATTTTTAAAGGTAAAAATGTTGTCAGCAGACCAACAGCCTTCTACCTAAGATGGAAATCCAGAGTCCTTGAAATCTTCAAGGACTTCAGTGGCAGGCACAAGTAAAATAGATTAGGTTTGCAAGAAATAACTTATTTATCTAATGTTAATGCAATTCACTTAATGGAGAGGTGGACTTTCTAATTCCTAAAAGCACATTTGTTACATTAGTAGCTAGTTGGCAATTAATCTAATAAGTAAGTAGAGATATGACTGTAATCACTTTAGAACATTCAAGCTAACAGAGTATTCTTTGTCCTCTCTTTCCTGAGACAGTATTCATGTTGGTATGCTGGAAGGGATTCTCACACTGGTGGTCACCACATCTGTATAGTAGTATCATTTTAAAGTACATTTTTAGTGTTCCCACAATGCTAGATTGATGGGGTGCTGTATAAACAAACGAGTAAGACTCCAAAGCCGAGGTCAGCAAACTTTTTCTATAAATGGCCAGATGGTAAATATTTTAGACTTAGCAGGCCATATAGTCTCTGTCCCAGCTACTCAGCTCTGTCTTTGGAGCATGAAAACAACCATAGGCAATACATAAATGAATGAGTGTGGCAGTGTTCCAATAAAACTTTATTCACAAAAATAATCAGTGAGCAGGATTTAGACCACACACCATAGTTTCCAACCCCTGTTCCAAAGCAACATTAAATCCCTACCTGCTAGGCTATGATTTTACTATGTTCAAGTATGCCTGCCTAAAAACTAATCTAACCTGAGTTGATGATAGCAAGTTACAATTAATGAGCATCTGCAGTGTACGAGGTGGCAGGTGTCTAACCTGCATGATCCCCAAAATTCAAAACCATATTCCCAAAGGTGGAAATTATTATTTGCATTTTACAGATGAAGCATTAGTAAGTTTAAATAAACAGTTCGCCCAAAGTCACAAGAGTAGGAAGCTACAGGGTTTGGTTTGGACCCCGAATCTTTCAGATAATCTTTTCTTATTCCAGTATTTCATTTTTAAGATCACTGCCATAGAAATGCACAGCTTCTTTTTCTATTCCAAACCTCAGCTGATTCCTTATCACCCTCTTGCATGACTAGATTTCTTTCGTATCATGATACAGCCTCCAATTTATTAAAAAAATTTCACCATAGCAAACCTTCAGTAAAATGCCTGTGTCATTAACCTTGATGGTACTGAGCTGTCCCAAGGGCCATCTTAATGCTGAGAGTCAACCAAAACAGCCAAAAATTCCAGTTTGTGTCACGTAACCATACAATCAGACCAGAGTTGTGTTTTTAAACTACAAATTTCTGAGTGTACATGTAAGATATTTTTGAGCTGCTTAGGAATTATTTTATTTCCAACAATCAGATGCCTTCTTAGTCATAATCATCCCTGATAGCTTTACAAAGCGTCCTCATACATTGTCTCTTCTATTGATAATAATCGTGGCAGCAACACTTTTTGAGTGCTTATCATTGCCAGGTACTAGACTCACCTCCTTTAATTCTTCCACAGTGCTAGGAGGCAAAAGGTGACATTCTCTCCAAATACCAACCAGGAAACGGAGACTTGAAGAAATTAAATATCTTGCCCCAGATCATTCAGATTGCATACAGTGGAGTCAGGATTTGAAAGCAGTTCTAAAGGCAGTGTGCCCATATTAGATTTTCGGTTACTTGAGGGCAGAGCTCGTATCTGATCTTTCCTTCTTATGTCCTCCTGACAACATCTCTGTGCTAACCCTAAATAGTATTTAAAATGAATATAAAATAAAATAGAAGAAGCCCTGCAATATACTACCAGGAGGAAAAAAAGTATTAAAGTGTATGTAAAGTATGATTACAAATATATTTTTAAAAGAAAGAAAAGAAAATTATGTCTCGATTTAGAAAAGTATCTACCAGAATGATATTGATAGTTGTGGAATTATGGATAAGGATATGGGCTGTTTTTTTTTTTTCCTTCTCTTTTTCTATATATTCTATTTTTAAGTAAAAATAATAACAAAAGTTCAAAATTATCAATGAAAGGAAAAAGAAAAATAATGATAGAGTTCCTCCAGTGTGGTCTGCAATTTTAAGTGCAATTCACCAACATGTTCCCTGAGGGAGCAATCATCTATTTAAGGAAACAAAGCCTGAAGCTACTGGGGAGGAGTCCAAGGGCATCTAGGAGCAAGCTAATGTGGCTCACATCTTTTAACAAAGGGAGCTAAAAGGGGGGGTTCCAATTTTTTAAGACAAGTGTTGAAGCAGAAATAAGGGGGGTGGGGTGTGTATGTCTTGAGTAAATGTGTTAGAGGTAGGAATCTACTAGCAGTATGTCTGGGAAGGAAAAGTGCCTTTTTGGTGGATGGACAAGGGTTGCAAGACAGACTTATTGATAAAAGCAGTCACTGTGGGTTTTTGACAAGATGAAGGCTGTGGTAATTTGATACCTTCAAAAATAAGAGTGGAAAGATATATTCCAGACTCTGGGTGTTGTGGCTTGTGGTGTTTAACTCTGGGTAGGGTGGGAGGAACACAGAGGGGGATAGATCGATCTACTTCCCATCTTTTTTCTTTCTAAGGAGCCCTATGAAGTTTCTAGGCTGATATTCTTTATATATATATATATATATAATATTATTTTTAAGTAATCTTTACACCCAAGAGTCACATGCTCTGCTGACTAAGCCAGTCAGGCACCCCTGGCTGATATTCTTTACTCTATTTAGAGAGCCAGTTTTTTTTTTTTTTTTTCCTGCTCAAAATCCATCATTGGTTGCCAGCTGCTTCCCAAGGCATGTGCAAAGCCTTTGGTTAAGCGTATAAGGGCCTTCATATCATGGAGCTGACTTTGCCAGAACCTTCTCAAACCCCTCCCCTACACATCCTTAGGTTGCAGTGGAATTAACCTGCCTTGGGTGCCCCTCTGTTTACTCTTTCACACCTTCACACAGTCTGTTTCCTGCCTAGAAATACCCTCCTCACAACCCTATTTTCCAGTGCAAATCCATCAACTCTCTCTCTTTTCTGTTGTTCATTCATTCATTCATTCATTCTTAGCCTTGGGTTATATTTATTTGTGTACTTGTCTTACCACCAAACCAGATGGTACCTTTGGAGGGTTGAGACCAAATTTTATCCTTCCTTATATAGTAACATCAAGCACAAGACTCTGTTATGATCAGCATATTTCCTAAGAGTATTTTGTTGAGCTGAAGACTAGTATGACTATGGGCCACATTTTGCTCAGCTGCAGGCTAGAATTCTGGGGGAGAAAAATTACCTGATGAAATACATAATAAGAGTGTGGTAACTAAGGTTGCCGCTCAGATAGCCTCCTATTCTATACCAGGTATTCATGTCATTCTTTCATTTAGAAATGTATCCCTTCATACACTCAATAAACACTATGTACCACTAAAGCCTAGACCTTATGGAAGATGAGGAAATGGTAGAGATATAAAAGAAAATCAGACATAATTCCTTTCTGAGAGTTTATAATCCATTGGAATAAAAAATAAGTTTAAAGAAAGATATGGTTATGATTATTTCCAGTAATGAAGTACCCGCTTGTTTTACATTATTCTTCCACTTAAAGTGGCTAGAAACACTGGGTAAGGTACAAGAGACATCTGTTTAGGGGTCCTAAGGCAGTTAAGTTTTGAGGGGCCAAAATAGGAGAGAAATCCACTGAAGTGATTCAGACATTCTATCCAGATTTTCCACTCAGGGAAATTCCTCAAGGCTGATTCATAGAACACCATGGGTAGAGAGGCTAAGAAGCCTAGCAGAAAATAGTAACTAAGAAATAAACTGAGAAGAGGCCTTTGTCATCTCATGGGCCCAGAGAAGCAAAACTGAAGTTCAGGGATACCGAGAGAGCTATGGTTCAAGATTCATGAACCAGAAAAACAGTCTCAGTGTCTTTTCCTCCTGAGGCAGTCACTAATTAGCAAATAGCAGCACAAAGAGAAAGTGAACAAAAAACCTGAGCCAAGAGATTATGGAGATAAACAAAGCCTTTGAGAGTCTCACAAAAATTAGCATTGAGGGCATGTCAAGGAACAACAGCCCTTAGGAACACAAGGCCTTTCAGTTAGAGCCCTGTAAAGACAATATTAAAAGAATAGATGAATCAAAAACATATCATGACTTTAAAGATTTTTGGAGAAACCAATCTTGAAATAGCTCAATCCTAATTGGATTTAGGTAACTTCCCCCATTCTAATGGCTTGTCAGAAGCTAAAGACTCATCTGAAGCGTTTATAATATTTCTTACACAGTGTCTGGTATACCAAGGGGCAGAACCAAGAAACAGAAAATAAAAACAGATCCACAGGTGACCCAGATATTGCCATCATCAGACAGAGCCTTTAACAATAACTATAATTAATATTTTAAGACAACAGATATGTTGCTTTTCAAACAAGATTATTGGAATTGATCTTTGAAGAATACTTTAGATTTTACTTAACCAAGAATGTACTTCTCAAAGAACTTGGATTTCAGATGCAGCTCATTCTAGCCAAGAACAAAGCAGGGAAGGTCAAATCCAGTGGCATTTGATTCAAGGCAAGATCAAATATGTGTAGGTGGGAAATAACTGATTTTTGTTTATCTATTTTAGGATTTCTTCAGTAAATCTGACCCATTTCTGGAAATTTTTCGTATGAATGATGATGCAACCCAGCAGCTTGTACATCGAACTGAGGTGAGAAGAGTCATCTTCAGCTATGCCATCTCATCTCCTAAGATAATAAATTGACCTGTTTCTAGAAGCCCCTTACATTTCTTGATGTCTGTAGCTATGCACTCAGACCTGAAGTCTTCACTGTCTTTAAGAGGACTCTCTGCCTCATGTAGCTTTTTAATTCTCAATTTAGCTATTAGAAGACCCTTTCTCACCCCAATTTTCCATTGTTGACCTTCAATACAGACAGACAGTCAGCAATTTATTAATAATAAGAATATGAATGTTAGCTAACATTTAATGAGAGTGATTAGGTGCCAAGCATTGTGCTAAGTGATTTATATGCATTATTTTATTTACTTCTCACAACAATTCCTTGACATGTTTATTATTACCCCCATTTTATAGTTGATTAACTGAACCTTTGGGAACTCAAATGACTTTCCAAGTTCTCATAGTTAGCAGGGGTAGAGCAGAGGTTTGAACTGAGTTTGTTTGTCCTGAGCTTCACTATAATTTGGGAAGCCGATCTGCCTCCCCAGTAAGTTTGTACACTAGGCTGATGTCAGGCCTATCAAATGAACAGCTGACCTGTCTCAGCTGCCACTTGATCTAGCTGCATCTCTTTCTTGAGCCCCCTCTTCTTTCTCCCTGGTGCTCCGAACCTTATCCCTTATTACCACCACCATCACCCAGTACCACACACCCATTCAACAAACAACCCCAATCTCCACTTTTTATTTTATTTATAAGTTAGTCAAAGAGAGTCTGTGGGGATGAGAAGTACATTGGTAAGGAGATGTGGGGTGATTGTGATGAATGACAGAGCTGAGAGAAGACTGTTGTATATACACATGCACACACACACACACAAAATGGTGGAGTAAAGGAAGAAGAAACCATCATGATTTTCATAGGGTGATAGTGGGGGTGCCATGTTCCCACTACCTCACATTAGAAATCCATTTCCATTTTCCTGAAGTAATAGAGTTGCAAGTAGCATTAGGGGAACTTTTTGTGTCATATTTAAGGTAAACAAGAATTAAATAGTCTTGAATGGGCAACATCTGTGGATATCATCTGGTAGGTAGTTGGCATTTAATAAAATGTATTAATAAAAGAATGGATAATGAATGGAGTTGAGTATAGGTAGTATGTCTACTGTATGTTATAGTACAATGTAATTATCTGGAATTCAATCCCTGGGGAATAGATTGAGGTGCAGTAGTTTCCCTGAGTGGCACCTAATTGCTACCACCAAACAGAATCTTTTTCACACATACAGATTCCTTTGGTGAGACAGACTTCTTCCAGGAAAAGTAAATAAACTTTGGTGAGAATTAGAAGTGGTGTGTCCATTCGTGCTTTTGCTCCAGTCAGTGAGTGAAGACTTTAATGTGCAGACAGAAAGGAGATGGGGGTTATATTATTAGAATTTTCTCACAAGATCCCTCTCTCCTCTGTTCCTGACAGCAGTCCTTTTCTCATTATTGGTATTGGTAAATTCTCCTATTCCCAAGAATCTCTAGAACTCCTCCCATACATCATTGCTGAGGGGCTTCTGAAGTCTTACAAGCAATGTGATTGTAAAGTTTACCAATGAGTCAGCAACATGACATCGATTTTTTTCCTCTTTCTTATTTAACAGATATGAAATAAATACTAGACACTACCGTTCTCTTGGGGGGAAGTACACACACACACACATACACTTGGATTCTAATTTCATAGGAAATTTCTAGTTGAAACTTTGATCTGCTATTGAATTTTTCAAAACTGTTGCAATGAAATATCATCACTTCTTAGTGTTTTTATATAAAGGAGAGAACTTTAAATTAACCCAAACACTTTTATCTAACTTTTCTTCTCACTATCACTTTGATCATCCCCAGGGTATCGGAATACAAGACAAGGCCCCACAGGAACATTATTTTTGTACTTTAATCCGTTAAAAGAAATTTAATGAGTCCATGATACAATCAATAATTCATAGTTATATTAAGGAATCCAGTAGAAGAGAAAATCACTTATAAAATAATTATGTTATTTGGATAGAGAATTAATTTTTTTATAATGCTAAGACTTCTGCTAACTAAAAATTTCATAGGAAGAAAAATCAATATGACAGAATTCTATTTAACTTCATTTGTATGTACCCTAGAGCAGTAGTTCTCGAATTTCATGCATCAGAATCATATAGGGGGCCCACCTCCAAACTTTGTGTTAGTAGGTCTGGGTGCAATCTAAAAATCTGCACTTTTGACAAGTTCCTAGGTGACGCTGATTCTCCTGCTGTTCTAAGGACCACACTTTGGAACCCCTTTCCTGAAGTACACAGTACAATCCTAGGCACAGAGCAAGTACATTAGTACTTCAATATATTCTAAGCCCAGTTGACTTATTTGAATCATATTGATGACAGACTAAGATGACTTGTATGGATTCTTGGGAAGGATTAATTAGTAAGCTGCTTCTAAAAGGATTCCACTATTACAGACTTAGTTTGTGACACTGAAGATCTAAAGATCTATACTACTCTACCTTCCAAGGTAGCTGGTATAAGTATGCTCCTGGGATTTTTCTTTTAGAAACTTCTCCTCTGACTTGCAATCTGCTCTGACTCAAGGTCACAAGTTATCAAAACCACTCAATTTTTTAACAGTAGAAATGATCTGCTAACACTCTCTACACCAACCAATAGTCTTTACTTACACTGTCATAGGAATGACAGTCCTGTAGAACTGGAGATCCAGAGGCAGACCTGCCTCCTCAATCCTAGCTCCAATTGATGTAGAAGGGGTCATCCCCAGCATCCACATGCTGGACTGTATTACTGTCATTATTTATGACACAAAGTCCAGGCCAGTGACTATGGGAGTTCTGCCCATAATGACCCACTTAATGGGAACCCTTAAAAGGTTTTCTACTCCCAGTTTTCATTAAGACGTCTATTCCAGGCACTTGTCCTTTTCATAAGCACCACAATGTTTCTCAATCAGTTTTTATGTTGAAATGTGAAAATGTCAAGCATTTCCTCCCCAACTCATCCCTCCACTCCCTCTCTTTCTGTCCTCAGGTTGTTATGAATAACTTAAGCCCAGCCTGGAAATCATTCAAAGTATCAGTCAATTCTCTATGCAGTGGAGATCCAGACCGCCGGCTGAAGGTCAGAAATCTATGTCTGAGAAATGCAACTGTTTATGTATTTAACTGTCCTCTTTCTCTTCATGTGAATATTGACAAACCCAACATTTTCTGTATCACTTACCCAAATCTCTTAGTATCTTGATGAAAGATGCAGGGGCTATTTCTTCTGCAGAAGACACTGAAGCTCAGGAGATAGTCCAAGATAAATCCTGATTGTGTTCTGTAAAGAGGCAAATTCCATGGCTTCCCAGAGACAAACTGTGGCAATAAGTTCATGGTGCAGTTGGGAGGTATTAAAAATACAAACACTGCTGTATCAATTATCTGCTGTTCCATAACAGACAATCCAAAATTTAGTAGCTTAAAACAATAACCATGTATTTGGCCTATGAGCCTATGCAAGAGCAAGTTGAGTTAATGTAGGAGGTTCTTCTCTTGGTCTTGCTTGGACTCCTGTGTACTTACAAGGTGACTCTGCTTCTGGGGTTGACTGGCTATCATCTAGAAGGACTGGGTATTTGAGCCATGTATCTTTCCTCATCCAAAAGGCTAGCTTGGAGACTTATACAAATGAACTTAGAGTTATGAAAGAGCAAGAACAGAAGCTGCAAACAAAGTCTCTTAAGGTCTAGTCAGGGAACTCCTATGAGGTCATTTCCTCCATATTCTATTGGCCAGAGCCATTTCACATGGCTATCCCAGATTCAAGGAGTGAGGAAATAGACGGCCTCTTGGTGAGAAGCACTGTGAAGTATGATGGCCAATTTTTTCAATCTACCACAAATGCTTTTTGGGTATCATGGGAGTATATACGTTGAAAGAAAAGACACATTGTGAGGGTGGCCAAAGGAAAACAAGAGGTAGAATGCCAGGAGCAGACTCCAGGAAGCCTTTTTTACGGTTCGAGTTCTGACCCTCCTCCTGCTTTGGGAGTCTGGAAGCTCCATGTTATCCATGCCCCAGAACTGATTCTACCAATTCAGGTTGACTAAGTAAATTCAGTAGAGACCTAGATACTGGTGCCTATAAACTGAAAGGCCAATCAATTCACACTCAGTGAGAAACATGCCCATTGGGCAACCTCAGCATTCACATCAGCTTAATCAGGGCACTTTCTCTATGTGGGCCAGCCGTAGGAAAGACAGCAATCAGCAATAGTCCAGGCAACTGTAATAGTCCAAGAGCAGAGCCACCCTTGCTGGATAACAGGAATGGTGAATGGCTTCAGACTCCAAAACCTGGGGCCTCTACCTCCACTATGGGAAGATAGGCCCGTGAGGCAGACTAACCATTCACGTTGCTCTTTTAGGGCACCCAATCCCCTGGAACCTGTTAGATGGGCATTGCCAATGTTCGTCTTTGTAACTGTACATTGTTTTCACCCTTTTGGTCCCACAAACCTTCTTCGGATAGAATTCTTTTGATTTGACAGCGTTGCCGGGTTAGAATCCTGTCCAGTCGGTTAGTCCCGGCTTCTTTAATGTAATCTTGTATATCTTTGCTTCATACTGTTCTGTGTGGACTCTGTACTTGAACTCTCAGCAGACACACTTAAACCTCCATGCTCTCAAGGAACAGCTCAGAGTTGTCCCAAATACCTTGTCTCTTATAAGAGCTAAGATATTTCAAGCCTCACTTTCCATTGGGACTGTCTTTCACGTCAAAATCAGGGCTCCTGGCTGCTTGGGACTTCATGTGTCAGCTCATATGCAGAATGCCAAGAGCTTCAGCTTCGGGCTTAGGGTGGTGATTGTCGCCTATATTCTGAGCAGCCCCCATTCCATTCCCAGCAGGATAACTGGCCCTATGTGGGGCAGAAATCAAATAATATGTCCGTTAGCCATAGATCAACTTTGTCATAGAGAATTATTAATCGAATAAAAGGAGAGGGTTGTCTGCAATGGTATAAATTAAAATGCAGAAAAGGAGCCCTTTATGGCCTTGTGAGTGTTTTGTATTCTGGGGTCTGTAGAAGAACAAATGGAAATAAAGGAGATAGATGATGGGTGATAGATGAGAAGGAAAGATGTAGGGGGTGGGAGAGGGAGTAAGGGAAGAGGGAAGGATCAGGGCTTCTCAACAGCTGCACTGTTGACCTTTGGCTTTTGTTGTGGAGGCTTGTCCTATGCATTCTATGATGTTTAGCAGCATCCCTGGCTACTAGACGCCCGCAAGACTCCACCCCCTTCAGTCTTACAGCCAAAAGTCTGCTCAGACATTGCTAAGTGTTTCCTGGAGGACAAAATTACTCCCAATTGAGAACCAGTGGCTTCAAACTTAGCATGCATCAAAATCACGTAGAAAACTTGATGAAATGCAGACTGCTGAACCCCGTCCTCAGAATTTCTGATACAGATCTGCGGTAGGCCTGAGACTTTTACATCCTAAAAAGTTCCTGGATGATGCTACTGCTGGTTTCAGCCCACACGTTAAGTAAGGACCCTGTTGTAGACATTTGCTTCTCTCTCTCTTTCTTTCTTTTTTTTTAAAGACTTATTTAAAGTCTTTGAGACTTTACTGTTTTTGAGAGAGAGAAAGACAGAGGGAGAGCATGAGTGAGAGGGGCAGAGGGAAGGGGAGAGAGAGAATCTCCAGCAGACTCTGTACTGAGCATGGAGCCTGACATAGGGCTTGATCTTGTGACCCCGAGATCATGACCTGAGCTGAAACCAAGAGTTGGACACTCAACCAACTGTGCCACCCAGGTGCCCTGACATTTGCTTCTTCATGACCACTTTCCCATAGCCTACTGTCTCCAACAGCATTTTCCAGCACCCAGTCTCCCCTTTACCACCACTTTTCTGCCCAGCATTCATACCTATCTGCACTGTCCCAGGCTTCTTGGCTTTGCTACACCTTTCTGCCCAGGATGCCTTCTTCAGTCTGCTTTTCTTAAAACATGCTACTTCCCTTTGGGTCTCTTAAATATCCCTCCACTTCCAGAAAACATTCCTCTTTCTATTCTGTGAGATGCCTTCCAGCCTTCTCCACCTACCCCATTAAAATACCTCTCAAGCTGTGGGATGCCTGGGTGGTTCAGTCAGTTAAGTATCTGCCTTCAGCTTAGGTCATGATCCCAGGGTCCTGGGATTAAGTCCCAAACGCAGGCTCCCTGCTTAGCAGGGAGCCTGCTTCTCCCTGTCCCCTCCCTGTGCCCCCCACTTATCCTCATGTGTGCGCGCTCTCTCTCTCTCTCTGACAAATAAAAAAAATCTTAAAATAAAATACCTCTCAACTTGCTTTGAAAATGTCTGTTTACATCTGTCTCCTCAGTGGCTGACTTGTTCTCTCCAGTTTGCTCCTTTAGGATGAGAACCATGTTTTGTTCACTGTGTGTACAGGTGTTGAGCACAGTGCTTGGCACAGAGGAGATACCCAGTGCCTTTTTGCAGAGTGAAGGGATAGAGGAGAGAGGGATGTACTGAGAGGTCAGCAGGGGTGTCTAACCTTACTGGGGTAGGGGTTGGGTTGAGGTGGAGACTTGCCCGCACCAGTATTTGATATACTGGTTTACTCGGTCACAAAACCTATATTGCACTCACTTGCTCACAGTATCCAAATGCAGCTTTTCTGAAAAGTGGGATAGACTTCCTGTATTGCCCTTTATTTGTATTCATTATTTTGTCACAAAGGCCATTGTGAAATTCTCATGATGCTGTCCCTAGCTACTTTGCCCCAAAATAAAATGGTACCATATTGGCAGGCAGCATTTCCGTCCTTATGGGTGTCATTTTTCTTACTACCAAAAAAATTAGAAAGTGAATTAAAATTTTTTTTAGTTTTTAAAGCACTCTGTTGGGTTCGATTTTAAATCTCAGCAAAATTTTAACAATTGGGTCTTTGTCTCAAATGAGGGTTGTTATCTTTGATTCTCTTTTATTCAGGACCCACATGAACACCAGGTTCAAATAACCAGCTTTTTATTTTGCTTTTTATTTATTTTTTATTTATTTTTTGCTTTTTATTTATTCTGTACTGCTCCTTTGTATAAAAAATAAAAGCATTCAAAGAAGCCTTTTCAGAAACCAATGCTTTAACTTATTATGGAAATGTTCAAACATACCTAAAAGTAGAAAGATGATATGGTAACTCCCCACGCCCAGCACACAACTTCGACAATTACTGTCTCGTGGCCAGTTTTCCTTCACACACACCCCTAATACCGATTTTCTCCTTCCTCTCCCCACTGGATTGCTTTGAAGCAAATCCCAGACTAGGGCAAAACACATCCTTTAAGAACAGTGCCAAGGCCCAGCAGGAGTCCATGAAGTTGTTTTCATTTCTTTTAAGATTAGAAAAGAAAAAATAAACTTGTAAGATTGAGTAAAATGTTTTAATTTTTTCTCACCTCTGAAAGCACTAACATTTTTAGGATTCTTAAAATTTACGCTGGTGGGAGGGGGCCCATGAAGGCAAAAATGCTGAGGGCCAATGAAGTTCATGGTGTGGCCCTGTTCCAGATATCATTTCACCCCAAAATGCTTCAGTATGTATCTCTAAAGAGTAAGGAATCATTCTATAAGTATAATCATAAAACCATTATATAATATCTAATTATGCTATATGTCTAAGAATATTAACTAAGCCTCCTTAATATCATCAAATATTCTGCCACTGTTCATGTTTGACTGATGGCCTGCCTCATTTATTTAAAAAAAAAAAATTGCCTTTTTTTTTCTGAATTGGGGTCTAAATAAGGTCCAAGCATTGCATAGACCAAAATAACTCTGAAGTCTCCTTTAACCTGTTAGTTCCTTCTTTTTTTTTTTTTCCTTGCAATTTACTTATTGAAGAAACTATACTGGTTTATCCTGTGGCACTTCTCATATTCTGTGTTCCCTATAACTGAGTAGTTGGGTTTAATCAGATTTGGGATCTGTTTTCTAGCAAGAATGCTTTATAAGTGATGCATTTTTCTTAGGGTGTGAACAGTCATTGAGGAACATTGCCTACATTCTTTAGTTTGTTAAGGTTTCCAAAATGGTAAACTTTCCAATTCTAACATTACGTCTTTAACTA